TATTAATATAAATATTTATAAATTATTCATAAAATTAGAAATATATTTATCAATCTTTTTAATTTATAAATAATATGAAAATGTAACTCACACATACATATCAACTAACATATCATATCATATCACTATGGCTGTCTTGTATACTCTGAAATAATTTCAGAGGTGAGGTAATGATCGTGAATACAATGCGAAATTCATCAAATTTTATTGTGACATTGTTTTGTTATTACATTTTATATAATATTTCAATATGTATATAATATATAATATTAATAATAAATATATTTATTTGAAAATCATATATATATATATATATTAATACATTTTAAGTTTTTTTTTAACATTTATTTATATATATAATTTTTAGGTTTTATTTAAATACAACGTGTGATTATCTAATTCTAATTATATAAATAAAAAAAATGGTAGTGGGTGTTTTTCCAGCTCTCAAATTGGGAGTCTTATTTGTTAAACAAATTAGTAAACCTTTAGCAAAGTTCCTTGTTAATCAAGCTAAAAATCATCCTGTATTTAGGACATATTTTATCATACCACCTGCTCAATGTGAGTATTGAATTAAAATATTTAAAGTTTGAATTAAAAAAAATTTAATTGTGATATAATCATTACTGTCATTATTAATATAATTATATAGACACTTATCATGCACATATATTTACATATTTTATATTTTTATAATTTAATTCCAGTTTATCATTGGGCAGAAGTAAAAGCAAAAATGTATTTAATGAATCTTGGTAAACCAACAAAAGTTGCAAAGTTGAATGAAACTATGGCTATTGAATTGGGAGCCAATTTAATGGGTGAGGTTATTATTTTTAGTGTTGCTGGTGCTTGTTTAATATTAGAATATAATCGTCAAGTAACAAAAGAATCAAAAAAAGAAGAAGCACGTCTTCAACAAATACAAACATTTACAAATGATATTAAAAATTTAAATCAAATTACATCTCAACAAGAAAGTGAAATAGAATATTTGCAAGAAGTAATTAAACAATTAGCAAAACATACAAAATATGAATTGATTATAAAATCAAAAACAAAAGAATCAAATAAAGAAATGCAACAATTTAATGTTGATAGAAATCAAAATACAAATGTAAATCCAAACAATAAAAAATCATCAATAATTGAACGTGCTATATTATATTATGAAAATAATGTAAAAACAGACAATCTCAGTTAACTGAAATTTTATTTTAAATTTTATTAATGATTTTGATAATGTACTTATAATATTAATGATACCAAAAAGAACAAATACATCTTTATAATCTCATAGTGTATATAAAAAATACTTTCCACAATATGTACATGACTTTATGTAGAATTAAAATCATATATAACACTTTGTACATTAATATTTTGTACATTATTATTCAAAATATTTAATATTTTGTATTTATACTTATACATGTAGTTTTATATTTTAATTTTTTCATTAATAATTTTCAAAAACAATAGGAAAAGAAATATTTTACTTTTATAAAAGATTTTTAAATCATACTATTTTAGATAGTAAAACACTGTATCTATTTATATTTAATTAAATTGTATTATATGTTATATGAAAAATATGTTAATAATAATGGTAAAAAAAGAAATATATCTGTGTATATACATTCACTAATTGTTCATAAAAAATTTATTTAATAATTTAGGTTTATTCCTTCTTTCAACATTTTCTGTAATGTATGAATTCTTGCTTCCAAATTTTCAAACTCGACTTCTATAATAAAAAATATATATTTTGATATCTATTATCTAATATGTATATTAAACATAATGTAATATATTTAATTATATATTTTAATACTAACTTGAATTTTTTGTTTTATTATGTATTTTCACATTTCGACAAGGAGATCGTTGAATTTTAATTGAATCTAATGAACTACCTATTATTATTAAGATATATGTATATAATCATTTTAAGAAAAATAAATAATAAAGAAAATATACAAATAAAATTCTAATATTAGTAATAAGATTTTAATTTTAATATACACCTGATGATAAACTAGAAGTTGTTTTATTACGACTTGAGATTGAAGACGATCGACTTCTACTTCTAAGTGTAGAAGATATACGATTACGGCGTTTTAATCCTGAACAACCATCTTCAGATTTTTTATTAGCAGATGTACTAAGTTGTTGTACTTTCAATAACAAAGCTGTATTTTCAGTTTTAAGTTTTTGAATTTGCATACAGAAAGATGCACGTTCTTTAATAATGTTTTTTTCTAATGATTTAATTGATGCTAGTAAATGTTTTAAACTTCTTCCTGAATAATAAAATATATTTAAAAAATTAATCTATAAAATGTAAAAATATTTATTTTTACCTCCATTTGTAAGTTTAAGATTTTCTTGTACAAGTTTTTGATTTGCAATTGTAAGTTGTTCAATGCGTTTTTGAAGATCTCTATTTATTCCTGTAGATTGTAATCTTTCAAGTTCAATTTGTAGTTTTCTAATGGTAGCTTGTAATATTATTGGATTGGGTAAACCACAATATTCCAAAGGTAATGGATAATGGATTCTTAATAAAATTGGCAAATATTTGATTTATTTTTAAAAAATTTAAGGATTTTTTAAAATACACTTACCTATCAAATTCTACTGTGTATGTTAATATAAGATATCGACGATTATTTGATGTATTACCTAAATTTGAACATGAACTACGTTCAAATTTGCGTGCGCGTAATAGTTCTAAGTCTTCAAATGTAAGAAGATCCAAAGTAATAGATTCGCTTGTCTGTAATTAAATTCTTTTGATTTTATTTGATTAAAAAATTTAAATTCAAATTTTACTTTTAACAATCCAGATTGCAGCATAGCTACAAATACATCAAAATGCTTATAATTTCCTGTTTTGTGCGTCAAATTTTCAATATCTTAAAAATAAGAAATGTATAATTAATTATAAAAAGCAAATGATATTTATACGAGATAAAAGTTCTAACATACAAACAGAATTTAGAAATTCTTAGAATAACCTTAAAATAATGCGTTAATTATTAAAGATGAAAAAATAGAAGACAAACATGCAGCATCGTAGAAAGACCGCCAATTCTCAGCAGTATATTTATCGCTAATAGTAAGCTCCAAATTACGCTGACATCCCTTAAAAGTAGTAACTTTAATTTTTACGATGTATTCTTTGCCATTTTTAAAAGTATAAGTCGTCACCAAAGACGGACCAACTTCGTTCATACTTAGTGATAGACATTAACGTAATAACGAATATTTGACACAAAAAGTTTTCGAATAATCTGACAAAAATAATTTTTTTAAATATAGTAAAAAGTTTAATCAATGCATTTGTGTACTTAAATCTCACACTGATTACTTGAGTAATGTAAGTTCAATATTAAATACGTAATCGTCGCGAAGTAGCAGCGCGGTTGAAGATATATTGATGCGTAGCTGTCAGTGCCATGATATGGTTTTGAATCAAGGAATGAATTAATTTATACGAAGATAAAATAGTTAAATCTTAAATATGTGGTCTTTCTTTTCAAGAGATCCCGCCAAAGATTTTTCATATGAAATCGGTGAACCTATTTCTGGTTTAGACGATAGAAGCATCTGGACATTACATAGAGCTAAAAAAAAGGTATCATAACCTGGCGCTGTAAAATCTTAAAAAATATTTTCTATTTTTAGGTATTGATCCAAATTTTATTCTCTGTTTAAAAGTTTTATTTTTATTACCTGAAAAATCTTTTTATAGGGATCTGCAGGAGGTGAAGATGTTTCAGTATTTGTGTTTGAATGCAAAAGTGGTAATGAACATCTTTTAAATATAGCTCGATCAGCAGTAAAAAGATTAAAGACACTTAGACATCCAAGCATACTTGCATATTTGGACAGTTTTGAGGTATGGTAATGATGTATAGTAAGACTCCCTCATCTGCAAGGATAATACATTTCAAGATTCTCAGCAGATGAAACTGAAAATAATAGAATTAAATAAAGAAGATTATATACATATTATATATATTTATGATAATAACAAATAACATATAATTTAAGTAATATAATTAAGTAATATAATATATTAAGTAATATATTAAGTAATATAATAATATAATTTAATTAAATTAATAAAATGATAAAACTATAATATTGAATGCTATTTGATAATAATGATATAATGTATATAATAAAATGAATTATATTATGTAATCAATGTGTATACATAATATTTAATTTTTATAATTATATAATATAATTTATTGCGGATATGGGTGTCTTACAATATTACAAAAATTGTATCAATAATATGAATACTAATATTTTTTATAATTACAGACTAATAAAGTAATTTATTTAGCAACTGAACGTGTAGAATCTTTATATAGTCGACTGACAAGAAAATCTGATAGTGATGATGAATTTAAAAAAGAATTATATTTTTCTTGGGGAATATTCCAGATTACCGTATGTATAAAAATTATATATAATAATATATTATTTTATGATACATCATTGTATATATACTTTAATAGAGAGCATTAAATTTTTTAAATAATGATGCTAATTTACGTCATAATAACGTTAATTTATGGACTGTATTTGTTAATGAAGAAAGTGGGGAATGGAAACTTGGTGGAGTTGAATATATGACAGCAGTAGATATTGTTTATAATATGTTACCATCAACATTTCAAGCTTATTATCCTCCTGATGTTAAGGAAAATGTAAAACCAGTTACAAAATGGTAAAAAAGATTTATAGTAGGAATAAAAAATTTTCATGTGTCTATAATTATATTATTATTAATTTTACATTATTCTTATTGGAAATATAAAAAAATTATACTTTAATATATAAGAAAATAATTTAATCATTTTTGTTCATAGCTACTACTCATTTAGTGTATAAAACATTGAAAATTTTCTTATTTGGTAAATAATAGAAAATAATTATCTTATTTTTAAAGTTACACTACAATACTAGCTTTTCTATATGTAAACATTTAGGTTTATTGTTTACGCTATGAAATTGATGAATAAATAAAAAAACAGCTCAGTTGACATGTGGGGACTTGGATGCCTAATCTGGGAGACATATAATGGTCCATTAAATTCAAATTTGCAACTTAAAGTTATTGATAAAGTATGTTTTTTATTTTTATAAGATGTATATTTATTTTTAAATTGAAATATCATATCTTTCTGTTTTTTATTTAGATTCCAAAACAATTACAAGTGATATATCGAGAATTGACTAGTAACAATGCAGAAGGAAGACCAAATCCTGCTGATGTGATAGCACGTTGTCGTAGTAATGGAGGATTTTTTAAAAATGAACTTGTAGATGCACTTTTATTCTTAGAGGAAATTCAAATGAAAGAAAGAGGAGAAAAAGGTCGATTTTTCTCACAACTTGCTGGTCAATTAGAATCATTTCCAGATGGCGTTGGCAGATATAAAATTTTACCACAATTATTGGCTGCTTTTGAATTTGGTGATGCTGGAAGTGCAGTATTACCTCCTTTATTACAACTCGGTTGCCAATTGCCTGATGCTGAATATCAACGAAGAGTTGTACCATGTGTTGTAAAATTATTTACTTCAAATGATAGAGCAACTAGATTACGATTATTACAACAGTTAGATCGATTTGTTGATCATTTACAACCAGCAACAGTTAATGAAGCCATCTTCCCGCAGGTAATTAATTACAAATATTAATTTCTTTTATTGTACAAAAATACAAAAAGCTCAAAATATTTTTACATTAATAGGTAGCCAAAGGTTTTTTAGATACAAATGCTGCAATTAGAGAACAAACAATAAAGTCTGTTGTACATTTAGCACCAAAATTAGATTATAATAATCTTAATGTGGAAACATTGAGGTATTTTGCAAAACTTCAATCAAAAGATGAACATGGTGGCATACGTACTAATACTACAGTTTGTTTAGGAAAAATTGCTCAGCACCTTCATCCTCAGATTAGACAAAAAGTAATTTTAATTCAAATATAAGATTTATAAAATGATATATAATAATAAAAAACATTATTGTAGGTATTAATTGGAGCATTTATTCGAGGTACACGAGATCCATTTCCACCAGCTAGAGCAGCAAGTATTTTAGCATTAGCTGCTACACAACAATATTTTTTATTACAAGAAGTTGCAAACCGTATTTTACCAGCACTATGTCCACTTACTACAGATGTAGATAAAGGAGTTAGAGATAATGCATTTCGAACTATCCGTGGATTTTTATCCAAGCTTGAAAGAGTGTCAGAAGATCCTGGATTACGTGAATCTATGGGTATTAAAACAATTCAAAAAGTTTATCTATAAAAGAACAATTGAAATTGATGTAAATATACAACATACAATATTTTCAGAGGCAGATGTAAATACAGCTACACCAAGTCTTAGTAATGCAGCTGCTACATGGGCTGGTTGGGCTGTAACAGCTGTTACTGCTAAATTTTATCGCAGTCAATCAGATACACCTAAATCATCAAATGCTCATAATACATCTAGAATTTTATTAAACAAACCTGCCTCTTTAGGTATCTAACTTATATATATTTTTTCTATTCTATCACTATGAAGCATTTTTTATAAAAATAAATAATAAAATTATAGAGCAAGCTAGTAGTTCACAAAGTAGTGCTAGTACAACTGCCACAACAAGCAGCGCTACAAGTATGACATCATTGGATCATGATCATGAACATGATTTACAAAATGCTACAAATACAAATTCAGATTGTGATTGGGATTGGGATGCTGATAATTGGGGTGATATGGAACAACAACCTTCTACTGTATTAGAACATGGATCAAGTAATATTTCTCCATCTTCTCATTCTCCTAAACCGAATGATCAATGGACTAGTCTGGAAGAAAAACCGGTTTGTATTATTTGAAATTTTATATGAATATTATTTTAAATACATATTAGTATATAATTTTTATAAAATGATTATTTGTAATATGAAACTGGAGAAAAACTCGAATATCATTTTTAGGAGGAAGAAGCAGCACAGAATGTTGAAGATAAAAATGAATGTTCTGACATAGGTTGGGAGGATTCTGAATTTCAGCCTCTAGAAGATTTTCAACCATTAGAACACACACAAACAGGTATTTATTTTTTTATAATTATCAAATTAAAATAAAAATATTTTTGTAATAATTTTAAATTAATTTTTTTTAATCTAAGAAAACATTGAAAGTACCAATACAATTAGTACTAAATTAAAAGAAGCCAGAAGAAAACGTGAAGAGGGAAAATTAGCAAGACAAAAACAAATGGAAGCAAAAAGGGCAATAAAATTACGAAACAATGTTGCTGCTAAGAAACTCTAATTTAAATATTACATAATTTAACAATTGCATTCATGTAATTAATAAAAAAAAAAGAATTAAAATATGATGAATGCTTAATAAGTATTTTTTCTATCAATATCTAGTTGATTTGTTAAAAATCGATTTTTAATTGTTTTTCTAATATTGTTTATTGCATTATTATATATTCTTATAAAATACAAAATATTATATAACATTCAACAAAATATACTCACATATCATTACTTTTTAAACCTACATTTAATTTATTAATTCATGTTAAGATAATCTATTGATTAAAAAATTAAAAAGAAAATAATTGTCTGCTTCTTCTTTCCTTTTTTTTTTTTATTTGAAACAAGATAATAAAAATCACTGTTTGAATCTAAAATGTGCATAATGTACATACATTTAAGATATAACTTACAATTTTTTTTTATGAGAAGTTTTAAATACTTTTTTTTTTATTGTCATAAATGCAATATTTTTGCAGTGTCTTCAATAGAAAATCTCATATTCAGATAATTAGCATTATTAGGCTCACGTTTGAAACCCAAACTTTCATAGAATGGTATAAGATGATCTTTACAATCCAATGATAATTTATAACATTGTAAATAATTTGATAACTGCAGTATGATTTTAACTACCAATTTTCCTAAATGTTTACCACGGTATTTATTATTTACTACCACATCTTCTAAACGTCCTCTCTGTAACAAATTTTTTATTTTTATTGTATAAAATTTATTTTATGAAAAATAAAAAAATCTTAAAAAAAGAAAAACATACCAGTGCACAATTATGAATGAATTTTTGCTCTACAACTAATGTTGCACTTGCTACTATTTTTCCAATGGTTACATCTTCTATTACAATAGTATAATAGCTACCAGTATCTTTCATCATATGAAAACGGTCTATGCATTTGTAAAAAACCAAGTGCATTTATTATAATTCATATTTGTCTTTAAACACAATTTAATTTAAAAAAAAAAAACTTACTTAAAAATTGTTCTCTACTGATATTTCCAACTTCAGTCAATTGAGTCAAAAGTTGAAGAAAATCTTTTAAATAAATATCGTAAAATTAATAAATAAGCTATATTATTATTAATAATAGTTCTTCTAATCACTATTTTACCTCTATCATAATCTTTAGATTTTAAAGGTCTAATTAATAAACCTTCGATGTGTGATAAAGATAAATGTTCCAATATACTCGAATTAAATAATTCAATTTCTTTATCCTCAAAACAATTTTCCTAATAATATCCGATAAACAAAAAAATAATTAATTATTAACATAAAAGATTAATAATATTTAAAAGATTATTTAAAAGATTAATAATAACAAAAATTTTAAATTCAATAACATATTGTTTTTGTCAAATCAATATTATTTTTAACTTTAATATATATCACATATGAAATTAAAAATATTTTTTTAATCTAAACGGTTAAGTTTAAAAATGACAAGTATTTACAACCTCTATAGAACTCATGGCAAGAAATGCACAATTTCACATTTATTAATAATATGTAATCGTATTTGATAAATTTTTTTATCTTCCGCGCTCGTTTAGATTATAGATATAAAAATACGAAACCGTTATAAATTTTTTAATTAATCTTATTGTAATATAAAGTGTATTTCTATGTAACTACTTTTAAATACATTTTTATGTTTTATAAATGTTTAAGATTATCTTAATAAGTTTCCATCAATAATTAATTTCTATTTATGATTATGTATTATGATATGATAAAATAGTCTCATAAAAATAAATCATAATATTAATAAAAATTATTTTATTCTTAAATTAAAATTGAATTAAAATTATGTTTAAAATTATTAGAAATATTTTCAATTATTTAATACTCATATTTTCATAATTATTTAATCTTTAATCATTTAATATTTATATAATTTAGGCTAAATTTTAGAAATGGGTAACTAAAATTTTTAGACTTTTATTATATGATTTCATAAATTTTAACGTGCAAAATTAAAAAATAATGATCTCTTTTATTATGACAATAGTCAAAATTTAATAGTTTATTCATATTCAAAGTTTCATATTTTTAGGAATTTTTATGAAATACATTATATTATATTGAATTTTTATTCAATCTTAAAGAATAAAAGCATTAAATTCAAATTATCTATTTGAATATATACTGTAATTTATATTATATTATAATTTTAAATTATAATATAATATTATATATATATATATGTATATATCATAAACAGTGTATAAAATTGTTGTCATGACATTATTTTTTTTTTTATATCCAGTTCGCATTGTTATTGATTTTAAATTGAATAAGACGTTAATACATGATCAAATTTGAATTTAATCTAGATTATTATTATACAATTTTTATTTGAAAAACAGTGCTTTTGTCATGTAAATATATTAAATAAAAATTGATTCAATTAAAAAATTTGCAAATATATGAAAAAATTTTCAAATTACTAATTTCAACCATTAACAATTCAAGATATCACTTTCAAGTTTTGTAAAAACGCATAAANTTAAACTTTTTTTAAAAATATTAATAAAGTTTTATTAAATAAAATATTTTTTTAATATTAACTTTTTTTTAATAATAATAATCTTCATTTTTTTTTTTAATTTTGTCCAATTCTTAACCAATAAAATATCAAACTTTAGATTTCGATATTTTTCGATATATTTCAGTAGGTTATTCATTATATAATATCATTCAATGGTGAATATCTGTAACCTAATTTTTCTGACTTAATTCGTGAAATTATCTTGATAAAAATTGATAAAAGGTATTAAATATTTCATATCATTTTGTTAATATTTCAATAATTAATTATTAAATATATATTGAAAGAAAATCTTACAATTTTTACAATTTATTAATAAGCTTTATTTACTTTCAATATATTATTTGTCATATAATTGTAAAATAAATATGATAAATACAATTTATGTCGCATAGTTTTTCAAGATTTCTAAAGATTAAAAAATTTTTTTTTTTATGTCAAATATAAAATAGAATGATTGATTTTACAAATTAACTTTTTTAAAAAATTATTTAATGATATATTATTACAATAAAAGTTGATATTAAATTTTTAATTATTTTCAGTCATGTCTGGAAGACCAATGAAATTTCCATATACAATTGCTGCAAAAATAACTCGTTTTCCATTTCATCATTACTTTGTTAAAAGTGAGACAGGTTGGGTATTTCGGTATTGGGCAATTAGTATACTTATTTGTGCACCTCTATGGTATAAATTCCAACAATGGAGTAAGTTCCAACAATATTTTCAAATTATTTAAAATTATTTTAATGTATATATATAAATTGTATATATAATAAATAATCTTTCTTTTTTTTTTTTTTTAGGTTATAATCCAGAAAATGTTAAAAAATGGGATGAGATCCATAAACATCAATTTTCTGGAGAGATGCGTCATTAAATTATATTTGAAAATATTGTAGTAATATGAAATGAAATGAAAATATAATACTAAATTAGTTAAAGAAAATTCTATTTCTAATTTTTAATTTTTTTCTTGCATAGTATATTATAAACAAATTTCAATTGTAAATCTATTTTAAAAGTTTATTACCAAATTAATCGTATAAAACATACATGATTACAAAAAACTGTTTCTACTACTGTACAATATAGAGATTAATGATATTTTGTACCGTAGATTTTGTGTAGGGCCAGCCTAAAATTTCTAATTTTCTTAACATAGGCTGATTCTTTCAAAAGAAAAAAATATGTATATAAATAAGTACTAATAATATTTTAATGATTCGACAAAAGTTAAAAACAGAAATAATTAATAAAATCCTTAAATCTCAATAATTTGCAGAAACAACATATTTGAAAATCCTAATAAAATCTATTTTATGTAGAAACAAATAAAAATTTGCATCAATGCATAATTATTTTAGTACGAATTTTTTGAATTCATAATAAAAAAAAAGCTATTTTTATTACATATGTAAATCATCAATCATATTATGTGACAGCACTTCAGTATATAGATAAATCGTAAAAGATGGATAATATATAACATTTTATGAATTTTGTATGTAAGATTTCAAAGTTTAGAATTGTATTTATAGGTAACCCTCAAAATTTATATTACTTAAATGTAAAAACAATACTAAAATAATGTTAAAATAATAAATAATTATTAATACATTGTAAAAAAATTTGTTCATTAACAAAAAATTTGTTTATAATAATACTAACTCAAAAGACTATTCTTGTACTGGCTCAAGCATATGAAAAGAATTCATTGCTTATGCGCATGTTTATTTGTTTATAAAATGTTCTACGTTAAAGTAATTTCTACAAAACGATATGCAAGAGCAATTGTACCATGCGTAAAATTCTACAAATAATACTGTATATGCCTTTTATTATAGCAAGCCTAAGAAAAAAAATTAATCAATATATTATTTGATAATTAACATAGAAGAAAATATTTTAAACATTTTTAAGCTTGCATTTTATAATCTGTCTCAATAGATAAATTTTATAAATTCTATGCAGCAATTTTTAATTTTGAATAATTCAAGTCTTTTTTTTTTAGTAATATATACTTTACAGAACTTTTTTAGTTGAATTATGAATTTGTACACAATTCGACATTGATGTGTACAAATTTAATTTTAAGATACATTTAATTTACGTATCAGGAATAAAAATTGATATTCAATAAATATAACGAATCGAGAAAGAATTTTATCTCTATCTTGGTTTTTGAATATCTTCTGCATCTTCATCTTCGCTAATTGCAAGACCATTTTCTTCGAGTTTTGATTTCTTTGCATCTGGAGGTCGCAGTAATTCTTCACCATGTGTCAATCTTAGTTCTTTGCATCGTTTTTCATAATATTTTAATAATCTCATACCTGCTCTGTATACGTAACTATTTTTAAAAAGATATAATAACTTTCAAAATTTGTAATATTTTAAATGTTCGGAAGCCAAAGATTTTGATTTTAAATGATTATTGTTCTATTTATTATTGCAATAATTTTATTTATTTTTCTTAATTTCAAAATATGTATTTAAATTACTGCAAAATATTATTGCATAAATATTCGTAAAATATTTTAAATATATATTAATTATAAATGTATATTATTTATTTTTTATTTTTATTTTATTTATTATTTATTTAATAAAAGTAAATATTAGTTAATAATTAATTAATAAACAAATATGATATAGAATATTTTATTATGATTAGTAAATAAAATTATTAAGTATTTAAACACTTGCAATATGAAAATATAGCACATTAATCAATATTATTAATTAATCTCGCAATCTCTGGCATCCGAACTTATGAATAAATATATTCATAGTAGTTATACTCACTTGTAAACGGAACTGTGTTCTTCGTTATAAGCTTGACAATTTTCAAATACTAAGTGACAATCACTGAAGAAATGTTCTAACGTTTCATATTCATTATTGTTAAGTTTATATTTAATTGTACCAAAATCCATAGGATTGGAAATAATATCATGATAATCTGGAACTTCGTCTTTTGTAACAGGTGATAAGAAAGGCCATGAATCTCTATGTTGTTTAATATCAGAAAGTAATTCTTGTAATCTTCCTAAACATCCTTTAATTGTTCCCTTATCTTCTTCTTGTTCGATTTCAGCAGCTCTCTTTGCAGCTCTTCTAGTTTGTCTTGGTTCTGTATCCTCTGAAGTACTACTATCTGTATATTAAAATATTTATATATAATTAAATAATTTTAGAATTTACATATATTTAAATTAATTAATTAAACAAATATATATAATTAAAAAAACAAAGTATAAGATTTAATATAAATTTTAAATGTTTTTCTTTAATAAGATAATAATAACTATCAAATATACATGCAATAAAGTCTGATCTACGCAATTATACTAATAACAAACAAATGTATAAAGCAATATATTGTGTGATTATATCAAATATTACTATATTTGTAAAAAAAAAAAAATTATATATTCATACTACATAAAAGAAAATAGAATTACAATACAGACCGTCCCAGTCTGTAGATTCTGTAGTGAGGAGGCTCTTGGCAAAGCCATGGATGCGAGAGCGTGCTGCTGCAGCGCACAGTCTCTCCTTGTCCCTTTCCCTTTCACGCCCCCTCACTAACAACACAATTAAAACTAAGGAACTGCTTTATTACATAAGTATTTAAAGTAAAATTTACTTTTACTTAAAATGTTAATAGGATAATAAAATATTATGAAGTTTATCATCAGTATTTTCTGTTATTATCGAATTACAAATATATTATAACATTTACCATATTTTATATTCATCTTTCTATCTCTCCTATCTTTGCAATCTGAACAAATCCATCTTCCACGAGGTGCTCTTGTTATAGGTGGTTCTATGCATTCTATGTGATAAAAATTTGGACACATATCACAACTGATCAATTTTCCACCACTTTTACATGCCGAACATACATTTATTTGTTGATTACTTCTAAAAAAATGTATATTAATTAATTATTAAAAGATTTGCTTTTTAAAATATATCATATTTACATATTATCATCACTATCTTCTTCTAATTCTTCATCTTCTGAATTATCTTCTTCTTCACTTTCAAGAATACGTTTTGCACGATTATGTCGAGTTTCTTTGGTTAATATCACATCTTCTTCTAATTCA